TACCTCTCCCTTGTGTGTATTTATACCAACATTCAATAGAAATTTATGCAAAAGGGCAGAACATATAAAAGTTTCTAGCCGGCATCATTACCTTAGCAGTGCTGCCACTGCAGATGATTTAATTTTGCCACGTTACAGGTTAGCCAATCCAGAAAAAAAAATCATCAAACTTCCACTTTACAATTTTCGAATGTAGATGAATGATGAAGGTAGATGAATGAAAAATATTTTGAAATAAATGTCAAAAATGTCTCCGAACATTGTTTTTGTTCTAAATAAGTAAATTCAAAGAAAAACTTTAATTTCAATCTTCTTTTGCGATTGTGTTCTTTATATTTTATATTCAACGACTTTCATAAATATATACACAACAAAAGTGGTCCGACAGTTGATCCCTGAGGTACCCCAGATGAAAAACTGTTACATTTAAAATTAGAGATGAAAAATAACATTCAAAACAAAGTTGTCCGCTAACCTTATTTTTTTCTCTAACGTTAGAACGGTCCTCGAAAGGTTGGTTCAAAATATTCGTATATTCGTAATTCGAGCATTTAGCCACAAAATCTCGAACATCGTAGCGACATTTGGCCAAAAAAAAATTCACCCTCGACCATGTCCGCAAAATCACCCCACTCGATCTGCATTTCCTAATTGCGGGAAAGGGTTGAGAATCAATGGCGTCGGCTAGACTCTCTTACTGGCGCCCGGGTCTCCCCCAGACTATAATAAAACAAGGAAAGTGTGTCTGATATATCTGTCGATCTACGGGGTTTTCCACGGTTGTGGGCAAACTAAGGGCGCCAGTAGGTCTTTAACTGAAAAATCAATAGATTGCGTACAGTCTCAATAGTGCGTTTGTGAGGAGGGCGAGGAATTGGGGTAGGTTTAGCACCGTTGTACTGGGGCGTTCCCAAAAAGCACCGGAAAGGAATCGATTGCAAAATGTGAAAATATACCGTGGCCGTGTTACTTACAAAACCTACAAAAAACTTATATTTGCTGTAAAGACAGAACATTTGTTCGTGCATTAAAGTTAGGATGTTCATTGTTAATGCTAGGATGTTAATGTTATGATGTTCATTTTATAACGTCTGAAAACTGCAGCATCATTTATATTTGATGAATAGTCAAGATGAAAACTCTAAAAGATATATACAGGGTAGGCCATCGAAAACTTGACATGGAGGTTTTGGGTACTGATCTTGCAAATCCGAAAAAACGCTCAGACAGGTCGATTTTTATTGGGAGGGGGGACAGTTTTTTCTCCCATTTACAGCGTTGTCGCTTCAACCCCGGAGCAGAGGGGTGAACAACCCTTGGAATTTTAATAGGGAACTGGGGGCGAGTCGCACATCGTTTGAAAGATCTTGGAATTCTCTAAACAACGGTGTACATTTTTTTATTTGGTTTATATAAAT